CATTGAGTATGAGTGTTATCTCGATAGCAATCATCTTTCCGTAAATTCCATCAGGAAGCGGTACTTTTAGGGCCACTTGCGCCACTAATGAATTTAGGGCCAAGATATGAACCACGAACACCATCAAGAGTTTGAAGAAAGGCATTCGAATCCCTTCTAGCAGGGCCACGCAGGGACTGTGGAAGAGATCGGTCCAAGCTTGCACGTAGGCTTCTTTTTTCCAGAATAAGACAAAGAGGTGACAGACATCGGCAAGAAAATTCGCCCCGTAGTAGAGGGCAGAGGCGAGGGCGCTCACGTCAGTTAATGCCCCGCCCAATTTCCCTTGTCCTCTTAGGATCTGCATCCAGAAAAGTAAACCAGTAATCCATGCTCCCCATAGGATGATGATGTAGATGACGTTGGCAATTTGAAGAAATGGGCCGATTCGTTTCGGCGAATCGGGATTTGCGATCCTCGCGTTGATGTGAAAAGTGCTGAGACCGAGGAGGATTTGCATTCGGTGGAAGTGTCGCGAAGAATGTAGGAGTTGGTCGTAGTATTTTTGGTTCTTCGTGAACTCTCCTTTAACTGACATCTTTCCGAAGCTTCCAACTATGAAAAGGCTCTGCTCACACATGCACGAACACTGCGGAGCACTTGGCAGGAGTACGGTGCATTAAAGGCTTTTTGTGTCAGTTGTTATTAGAGCACTGCACAGGTTGAAAATCCATCCTGTCCCGTCCTGTCCTGTCGGTTCTTGTCTCGCGTCCTGTTTCGTTTTCTATGCAAGTCTTTCAGTCATATTTCTTTTTTGTAAGATAACGGATCAAGTACCGATATGAACTCTCTGAACTCATACGCGTCTGTCTGGGACGAACGACCCAAATTCATGGGACGGGCAAGATCCCGTGGCAATGAACTGGAACTTAGCCATTCTATCAACAACAACAATAATAATAAAGACTCGTCTCAGCATGTGTGGTGTCTCATGCTGCTTCCTCTCCAAATTTACAGATCTTATTACAGATTACCAGCAGCGTTTACTTGACCAGCATCTCACTTGATGGCGGAATGACTTTGAAATTGTATTGGCAATTGGCAATTGTAGATCACGTAGTGTTGCCTTGCGCATATTTATGAGGTTTAAATTCCAGCTTTTGAATCTCTCACAATTGTCACGTCCCATCTAAAACAAGTTAGTCATGGGACAGGCTATGGGAAAATCCCTTTCCGTGTAGTGCTCTCATTGCGATGCTAATCATCGTTGGGGGAAATGGTCTCCATTGAAAGTAGGAGCTCCTCATGTTCATTGAAGGCTTTCGTTAAAATTTGATGGGCCCGTCAATTGTGCATTGGGAATGCCTCTCCACCCTACGAATGGCTTAATAATACATGGCGGCCGGGTAGAATTAACGAGGTTCGCTTTGGAATGGTAAATGAGGCTGTAAACGAAGGAAGTGGACCTGGATCTTCATCGAGGTCTCTAGGCAAAAGGTCGTCGCCTTGCCGCTTGCTTTGGCGTTCGTCTTTGTACCCAAACTAAGACTCTCGTCTGGGCCATGTTTCGAATTAGGGCTGTGCCGATGTATCGGTGATCACTGGTATCGATCACCGCTGTTGCATCAACGGCGCCTTCGGCAGGGCAAGCGATGCCAATAGGAAGGGCAAAACGGAAAAAAATTTGCATGACCGTGTGAACTCGGCTTGACTCCTCTCCACTCCTGCTGGCCTCTCCCAGACCAATTTATTGATCGGATTATACTGCCTTTCACCCAGGTGAAGTTCTTTCACCCTAGTTTGCAAACCGACGGAGGAAAATAACGGCAAGACAATAAGAAACAGACGATCTGGTCGAAAGAAGTGGAGGGGGGAATCTCGCGTGATGGGATACGTGATTTATAGTTAACAGGAAGTATTTGAAATCTTATTCGTAATAAGAACTGAGACAACTTTTGGGAAATCCCGACATCGTCAAGTATCTACACAGAGAAAACTCTTAGGTTAGACTCTGTCATCTTTATTGATTATATGTAATAGGAATTTGGGGTCCAGAATGATCGTCATTATGGGAAAAGTCTGACGCCTCACCCTCTACTCACGATTCGTTTAGGGAAACTGCATGCATCGTGCAGTTTCATGCGCATCGTCCAAAGAAAAACAAGGTATGTGCGTAAAGAAAGCAGTGAGGTCGATGCTCACAGCTCGACATGTGGACGGAAAACAACGCTTAGACTGAAGAAAAAGAAACCGAAACGAGGCTGAAGACCCAGAGGCTGTTTCACGAACCTGGAGGAACATCTTTGGATCTGCCAAGACAGCAAACGAAGGAGGAAGAACCGAGGAAACATCTCATATTTACTGCAGCGATCAGATGATGGAGGGGCTAGCATTCTACCGTCCCATGTCCTCACCCGACATCTAGCCGATCGTCTTGCAACTACGCAGTCTTCGTCTTGCAGTGGAGGGGGAAGCAACTCACCTCCAGCCATCTCCAAATCCACGGTGTCTCACCTTGGTCAGGCAAGGAGTAAGAGCAACCGATCTCCACCCGAATCGGCGTCCCTGTCGGAATCTTCTCTGTACGAACTGGATTCCTCATCCAACCGGCATCGATCGGTGTCAAGGCGAGATGTTTCCCGCATTCTTCGACGGGAGCTGTGAAAGTCGGGGAGTATTATTCGAGATGCTCTTTAGAGCAATGAGAAATTTTCTTATAAAATGTAGCAATTTGGGAATCTGGAACCGATAACGTCAGTCGAATTTTCGAAATTTCTTTAGGCGTACTCGTGAAGGACATTCCAACGTTCAACTGCCTGCGAGAACGAGCATGCCGGAATTTTCAGAGTTGCTCAAATGTCGTAGCATTATGAGAACCTCGGGAAAGTGTGGCAATCGGAGAAGGTATGACAATTTTTGAAAGAAGTGCAAACTAATTTGGACTGGGTCCAAACGATTTTTCCCGTCGTGCCTATCAATATGCATGAGGTGCAGAACACCCTGAGAAACGGTTAATGCTACTTACTCGTTACCAACTTAGAGCATCGACCTTCAAGGTGAATCACCTTCCCCCCCCCCCCCTTCACCGGAGCCTCATCCACTCGAGAACCTGGAATAACCGAGATAAATAAATTCAAGGAAGCAACTCGAGACGGAGACAAGGGCAAACTCCCAGGCGTCAAGTGTCTATTAATTACGTGTGAAACGTAGATGAAGTCTCTATCCCCCCAAGGACCGAGTGAAACATAGACGCGGGATCCCGTCCTTCGTGTTTCCCCCTGCTGTTCTTCACTCCAGTTTCTCCCCTCCCCCCACCTCCCCTCGCCGGGGGAGGAAGATCCCCCCGCCCTCCAAGGCCGATCCAGCCCAGCTCCAACCTTCAAATAATGCCAAGATTTCGTCAGCCCTCGTGCCGGCATCCCGCTTCAGCGACGACTCCCTCAGCGATGAATCCCCAATCGAGTCGAGACCCCGCTGCCCCGAGAGGGTTTCGCCTGCTTCGAAACTCTCGGAACCCAGTCCCATCCGTTTTCTCCCAGCATGAGAAGGAATGCCGATGAATTTCTCGCCCAATTACGGAAAGAGTCTCCGTCTCCCTCCGATCGTCCCCCTTCGCGCTTGACGGCTTCGAGTGGGAAAAGACTAAAAGTAGCCCATGGATCCCTTCAGTTTCCTCGTCGTATCGTGTCAAATTTTCTCACTCGTTCGAGGTCAATACGAGCGAACGAGCTCACACTTCCTACAGCCACACAAGTTCGTATGAATCTGGAATCTGGAAACGAAGCGAAGTCGGGTGAAGCTCTCACTCACCCGCGACCCAGATGACCAAATCCCCCGCTCGAATCCTCTCGGCTGATCACGATAAGTCGTGAGCCGATAATCATAGCGCCCATCGAGCCGAAGGCGAAACACAGTCTGCAATACACCACAACACACCACTCGCACGTCGAGCTCAAGGTTCGGATTTCGAAAGAAGCGAGAGATGCAAAGTCTCGACCCTTTTCCCTCGACCAACATTTTCAGCCGTTAAATCATTTTCACGAGCCGGTCAGATCCGGTCGGGTTCCTACCTACCACCTAGCAGTTTTGCGGAATCAAAGGGAAAAATGGGAACGAGGGCAAGTGGGCGAGGGTTAATTCAGGTTCCATTCTCACTTTAAAAAAATAAATAAATAAAATTACTAGGTAATCGCCCTTGCACGATGCCTCCCGGACACGGATGACGGAACAAGTACTGGTATTGATTTCGCCAAAGAGGGTAATTGAAGCCAGGACAACCCCCGGATGACAGGCACGAATCTTTCAAGTCTGATCCTTGCCGCGGGCCTAAAGACCGGCCTCGAGCTCGGAATCGCTTCAAATCGCGCGTCTGGGCTCTCCCATGATGCATCTCGCGACCGTCGACGCAAATTTAACGCCGCACGAAGATGGCCTGGCCTCGCAGCGGCATGAGTCACTTTACCGAAAATAATTTTTATATTTGGCTGCTCTGATTCGGAAACACTGATTTTAATACTCTGGGTGCAGTAGTGAGTTGAATTAATATTTCTACAGCGTATAAAAATCAGTGCATCCAAATATAAAAAGTAATTATTCTCGGTAAAGCGACTCATGCCGCACCCCGTATTTAGGATTTTTTTAAAAACCCATTTGCATCAGCAGTGTAGGAATATAAGTCGTATGACTGGAACGGACACGTATGGATGCCGAGGCAAAGATTTATGAGGAACACCTATACCAATCACCGAGCTATGCTGGCATTTTTTCGCCACATTTTTGAAATCGAGATTCTCGCCCACGGACTCGATCGATAGAGTATATACGTCAGCAAGGCGGCAGAACAAACAAGCCAGCATGAGAAGCGCAGGAATGAGAACAGGGTCTTCTCTCCGTACATAGACACGCCCTCGGGGCATTCGCCCCCCCCCCCCCCCCCCCCCCCCCCCGCCGGGCCCC